TTCTAAGAAGTCCATCCAGGACCAACAAAGATTCATTAAAATGATTTATAAAGAGGAAATCTAAGATGGGAAAGATGACCATCTCAATTTTTCTTAGTAAGTATTATGTATTGACTTAAGAGTAATTCAAAAGAAACAAATTTCTCTCCGTGTAAATTAACCTGTTTTGCTTCAATGAAATAATAATCTTCTCATAACAAATCTCATTCCCAAACTAGAATTTCAAAACATTAAATGTTATCATCCATCATGTAATAATTTGTAAGGTAGAGGTAAAACCTAAAATGTGTTAACATTACAAGACTTTATTTTGTCTTGCCTTTTTAAAAAGTTAAACATGGAAATAATTCCATCGGTTAATATTTAACATGAGTAAAGACTTTTATCCTCATTCAAAATATATTTTCTCCATTCCTAAAAGTAATTCACTGTAGCCTTAAGTCTGTGATAGAGACATTTTGACTTTCAAATTCCACTGTGTAATTTTCAGATGACAGAAAAGGAGGTTCTTTAATTTCCAGAGGCAAGAAAGAAACATATGCACAAATCTTATTTCTGAAGAGATCAAACTGAAATTTCCAACCCTGCTACTGACAATCAAATGGCCATTTTCAAGGCACTAGGAATGGCTCATTTAACATAATCTATAAATGCCAAGATAGAGGCAAAATATTATAAATGGTTCTAGAATTAACCACTGCCTGCTTTCCTCCCTCCACCCCCAACTACTAAAGGAAAAAGAACCCTCTTCTAGTCTTGGATCTTTCTTCATCTTTATTCCTCCTTCCAAAACATGAGCAATTTCAAGAACAAACAATTTAAATGTATTACATATATTTTAGGTATTTGGATGTTCCCTAACTTTCACAGATGTGTAACTGTTTACTTAAAAACCCATTATTTTACTCTGAATATACATCATTTTCGTTTTCCTAATAATTGTACCTCTTTCTAAAAGAAAACAACCTTAATTAACTATTACATAAATGACAGCAGCTCCAAACTGCTACAATTCCCAACTTACTTTCAATATCTTTTGTCTGTTTGTTTTGAGAACTAAAATAAAATTTTGTTCTTCTTTTTAAAGTGTTTTTCTTCCAGTCCAAGGGTAGAACACAGGTATAACAAAAGTGTATACCCTATATTCCTCCTGATGATTCTTCTCATTAACCAGATGTTTTCCAGAAGACTAAAACTAAATACTAAATGAAGCATAAAATGAACTTGCCCCTTTTGAGGACTATGGCCTTATATGTTTAAGTTTCAGCAGAGTGTAGGTCAATTCTCATCATAACTGTAAAGTACAAATTATTGTCAGAACTGGAATTTCAGTGTTTCAAATACTGCTAAAGTATCCTTAGTAACCTGTGAGTTACAGAGATGGAGACAAGGCTATATAAGGTCCTTCTATAAAGTATCCTAACCTACCGTATTTTTCGGACCATAAGACGCTCCGGACCATAAGACGCACCAGTTTTTAGAGAAGGGAAATGAAGAAAAAAAGATTCTGAAACAAATAGTGTCCTAAAATATTTTATGTGCATTAAAACCCAACATCACAGTCATAAACACATGTAATCAACCCTGTAAAGTAAACAGCAGCATTTAGAACCATTTTAGAGCCGGGCAAGCACACAGAGACCACACAGAGCCGGGCAAGTAAAAAAACTTTTTTTTTAAAGTGTATGTGTAGGCTATATTTGGACCATAAGACGCAGGGACTTTTTCCCCCCACTTCTGGGGGGAAAAAAGTGCGTCTTATGGTCCAAAAAATACGGTATATCATTGGCAGAAGTCTCTTTTATACAATAAGTGAACATTTTCTTTGCAAATTAAATCACTTAAGTGGCTATTGTTTTTAAATCAATAGTTATGTGATTTATATACCAATGTCCACCCAGTTTCTGATGAATGTAGATTTAATTTTCTTTACACTTTGGGAGATTAATGTCAGAAATTAAAAATGCATTATAAAAAATTCAGAAATGTAAAATAATGAAAACACAAAATTTAATTATAATCAGCTAGGTTAGGAAGTTCAAATAGTTTAAAAATCATAGCATTAAATAATTATAGAATTTAGTATGCCAAAATATGTATAATACAGATTCTTCTTTAAGAATTGTGATGATTATACAGGGTGGGGCAAAAGTAGCTTTACAGTTGTTCATATGGAAATAATATAACTAATAAATAATATTATAAGAATCAATTGTTTTGGATACTTACAAGTGTAAACCTACTTTTGCCCCGCCTTATATTAAAGGCCTATCGTGGCTATTCCTAATGCCAGGTATATTATGCATGTTACTGTTAAATAAAACAGTATTAATGTCTAACTGTCATTTGAGTTAGCCTTGAATTTAGCTGTTTTAACATGTCCTTATTTTTTGTCATTTTATTCATTTAATATGATTTGCCCACCCCCAAACTCAAAAGCCACACCTGAAGGTAAATGACTTACACTCTCAATATTTACTGTGTAGATATGAGAATTCAACTTATGCTTAATTTTGAAACTGAAATGTGGTTGATAATTTTATGATACAGTCTACCACAAGTTAAAATGGACAAAAATCAGTAATTAAAATATCTAAAAACTGAAAATGAGCTTTTAGTTATAAAAGACACTTTAATAAAGTTCCTAAAGTATGGTTTTGTGTAAATAAAACGATAATTTTAATTTATATGTGGCATAAACACCATCATAGAATAAAGATTGTAAAATTCCTAATTACCCAGTGTAGTTAAACTATTCCCTAGTCTTAGGTGATTCCTTACTACTTTATATTGAAAATAAAACACTACCCGAAGACAACCCACTGTTCAATCCAAAAGCCAGCCCAGCTTTTAATAATAACAACTTCTACAGCTATAGAAAAGGATGCTCTTTCTTCTGGAGTCTGATTCCTCTTCAGCTCAGAAACCTTTAGGAAACTAAAAACAACCCAAGATATGTATTCTTTTCCAATCCAAGAATAAGCAGAAATTTTAGGATTTAAATAGTCATCTTTCAATATTTTTTAAGTTCTTCGTGTTGAACTGGTTAAAATTATGTTTTACATGACATTCACCCCAAATTTCCCCCCCCCAAAAAAATTATTCAGAAACATGCTTGTTTTGTAAAATGTTGGAAAGACAAAAGACTTCATAACATGTAAGCCTGTTCTAGAAAAATAAAACATTTCACAAAGACCATTTTTTATTATTTTTTAAAAATCCCAAATAGTCACAACTAGCCTGATGGTTACAGTTCAGCTTTAAAGTGTTACTAATTAGCTAAGTAAACTTACCATTCAATGAGACACTAATAAGATAACATAACTAAATAAAAATTATAATTTTGTTCTTAAGAAGTTTCATATCCAAGAAAGATATAAAACAAGGCACACTAGAAACAAATGAGTAAACTAAATCATATTTCTCACAAATGAATGTTAATTCTCATTTAAAATATGTATCTTAAAAATAATAATTATTCATTATTTTTTAAATTTATTTTTTTCTGTAGATATCCTAAACTGGGTAGGGCCATAATTGTAGATTGTTAAATGGAGGTCAGTTGGAAAGAGACAAACAGAAAATGCTAAGTGTAGGTATGCGAAATAAAAATTCCCCACAAGAATCATGTTTAAGTCTATCTAGAATTTGTATTTAAACTGCAAAAGAAGAAAAACTACCATAATTCTCTAAAGTAAAAACCCTTGGGGGGGGGGGCGTGAGGAGGTAGCAGAACTCCACAGAATATTAAAAACACTAAACCGAAATCTTGCCTTAACTTTTTGCCTCGTACACAACGTAACAAAATGAGAAGACAATAAAAACAAACACTCCTGTCCACCCTCAGAGAGGCAAAGAAAGCTCCCATTCAATACCCAGCCCTATCCCACTGGAAAACACACTCCTGAAAAGTAAACCCAAAACCACTAGCTCAGGCAGCTTCGCGCAGAGCTGGCTGAATGGCGGCCAAGCGTAGTACACGCCGTCCCCGCCGCGCCGAGCGCTGCAGCCCGGGCTCCGCTCCCTCCACCTCGCTAGCTCCCGCCACCTGTGCCCCAACTCTTTTTAATGAGACTAGTGTTCCTCCCGGCTCAGCAACCGAAAGAGGTCCATCTTCACGCCGACGCCCCTACTTTTATTTTGAATGACGATCCACACGGGGTCGACCCCTCCACTGTCGCCAGCACCGCCTTTTTACACATCACTGAGGGGAGGCGGGATACCGTCCCGGGAGCGGGGAGCCCCAACAACTCCGAACGGGCTCCCAGGCGGCCCCGGGTCGTCACCTGCTGGGACGGGCACCTCGGGGGGCGCCCGGGAGCGGGAGCGGCCCCGTCCCTCGCCCGGGGCGGCAGGTGAGGCAGGGAGCGCGGGGCGGCGCTCCGCCCTCCTCGCCTCCGCGGCCCCGCCGGACCAGCCAGGCTCCGGCGCGCCTCGGCGCCCGGCGCGGCTCTCCCCGGTGACTTGTCCCGCCGCCCGGGCCCGCGAGGCGAAGTTTCTCTCCCCGCGGCCGCCGCTGCTCACGCGCCGCCCGCCTCTCCGCGCGGGTCCCGCCGCTGCTCTGGCGGCCGCGGCCACGAGCGCCGGGCCTCGGGCGAGTGGGGACCGCCGACGGGAGCCGGAGCCGGGACCTGTCAACCCGGGCGGGAAACAAAGCCGTGAGGACGAGCGGGCGCCACCGGCCTCGCCTCCGCGGGAGGGAGCGCGGCGGGACGGGGAGCGGCTCCGCGGCCGCCGGCTCCGCGCCTCCGGGAGGGAGCGCCGGCGCCGCGGCCCGGCGGGCGGGCGCAGAGGGGCCCCGCCGTGGGGCTGGGGCCTCCGCCGCGCCGGCCTCGAGGCTCCCCGGCCCCGCTCGCCGGACGCACCGCCCCCCGCTCGGGGAGCCGCGTGAGGCGTGAGGGGGCGGGGAGGTGGCGCGGCGGCTGGACCGCGAAGGAGGGGATTCGGCTCCCGGGGCGCCGCGGCCGCCCGCCCGATCCCTGCGGCCGCGGAGCCGATACCTGTCGCTGCGGTAGTCCGTCGGCCCCGTCTCTTTCCGCCGCACCCGCGCGCCGTCCGCCCTCAGCCCGCCCAGCAGGCTGCCCGCGCGCCGGACGCCGCCGCCCAAGACTGGCAGCGCCCGCGAACCGGCCCGAATCCCCCGGGCAGCGCCCGGCGCCGTCCCGCCCCTGCCGTTCGCAGGACCCGCCTCCCATTGGGCCCCGGAGCTGTCAGTCCGCCCCCAAAAGGCGCGCGGGCTCTCGCTCTGCTGGTCTGGATTGGTAGCTGCGAGCCGTTCATGCAAATGAGACCCCGCCCCCGTCCATTTGCACCTCCGCCTTAGTGTAACCTCCGCCTCTTCACGCCAGCCCACGTGTCTGACCCCAGCCCTTTGTGGAGCTGGAGGGAGGGGATGGAGGAAGCTGACTGGCCGCCCACCACCACCCTACACGCGCGCATATACACACCACACACACATACAAACTACACACACACACACCACACAACTACACACAACCACACACACACAAACTACAAACACACACCACACACACACACACCACACAACTACACACATACACACACACCACACACAACTACACACACACTACACACCACACGCAACTACATACACACCACACACACTACACACACACCACACACATATTCACAACTACACACACCCCTACCTTTACTTCCAGAGAAAGTAGTGTCTGAACAAGCTACAGTAGTTGACTTTATGAACCTTTCAAACACTAGATTCCATGTGATTGAGGCAGCAAAGTACCTTAAAAAAATGTTTGCGTTCTCTCCCAGCATTCCTCCCCCAAAGGGTAGGTCTGCCAAGCAAACTCAGCTGCAAGAGGGTCCCGGCTCCTCCAAGTAGATGGCCACCTCTGAGTTGCTCCCATGGAGATTCCTGCGCCTTGGGGAATAACTAGACCAATCCCTCGTTTTTTGAAAAAACAGAAACCTTAAGTCCCATATGGGACTTCATAGTTACCTATGGAAACCTCATGTCTCACAGCTAGAAGCCGAATTTCCTAACTCCAAATCTGCTCTCTCCATTCTATCACCTGGTCTCTTAGGTTTTTATGAGGAGCCAATCTGACAATCATTCCTGCCTTCAAGAGGTGGGGCCTGCAGAAGAGACAGCCAACGCTGAAACCTCCTCCAGGGCAAGGCCCTGTCTCTGTGCCTAGAAGCTTCGCTTCTGACCAGATGCCAGGAAGAGTCCTGAAACAATTTATGCATGCATTAATTCCACAAAAACAATGCGGATTAAAACTAGTCTGCATACCAACACCAATTGATTAAGCATTTGCTATGCTTACTAATAGCAGGTAGTAAGCACTGTGTGCGCTTTGTGCAGGTATGTAAGAAGACCTTTTTTTGCAGCCCTTGGCAGCTTCAGCCTCGGAGACGGTGATATGCACATTATATGGCAGTACTCCTGTTACAGGTACTGTGCCAGATGTCTGCATAGAGCTCAGCGGAAGGTCCCCAGGGGTGAGGAGTCAGCTGTTTCTGAGAGAGGCAGGGAAGGTCTCATTGAAGAGGTGATCCTAGAGCTGAATATTAAAAGGTTGTGTTTGCCAGGTGGAGGGATTTGGAAGAGGAAGGAAAGGGACTCCCAGACAGGGGGAGGATACATGAGCAAAACGAATACCTGGAGCTGGGCTGGTATGGCTCAGTGGTTGAGTGTTGACCTCTGAACCAGGAGTTCATGGTTCGATTCTTGGTGGGGTTTGTGGGCTTGATCCCCAGTGTGGGGTGGGGAGTACAGGAGGCAGCTAATCAACGATTCTCTCTCATCATTGATGTTTCTGTCTCTCTCTCCCTTCCTCTCTGAAATCAATAAAAATATACATATTTTCAAAATACAGACCTGGAAAAGCCTAGTCACTGAGGGAACAGCAAGGAGCAGCGTGGGCAAATCTGCAGGCTGTGTGGCCAGGTCACATGCTCTGGGCCAGGCCCTTTCAGGACTGGCAGCCAGGCTGTGTTGTAACACACCGCTGCAAACAACAACAGGCCCTGTGCATACTGCTGCCGGCTCTCTGCCTAGGCCAGAATCTGTGCCGAACAGTCAGTTCCACAGCCCCAATGGCAGCCTCACTGGCCCCACCCACTCTCAGAAGGTCACGCCCATCGTCACACTTGCCCTACTCAGCATTTGGAGACATATAAGCTTTCGATTTCCCTAATATCGCTGCCCTTCGTAATTCAAAGATAATGTGGGCTAGGGCTACAGACACCTGGGTGTGGGCCTCGTGCACAGAGCAGTTCTGTGCCAGGCTTGTCACCAAGGCTCATGTAGTGGGCATGGGATCTGTGCTTGGCGTAATGCTCTACTGTCACCATCTTGAAATTCTTAACCTTTTTTCAACAAGGCGCCCTGCATTTTCATTTTGTACCAGGACCTGCATATGAGGCAGCCGTTCCTACCTGTTATTGTTAGTGCCCTGGGAATGTTTGTGTTACTGCTCAAACCACATCTCACCCTTATTTTTATTTTATTTATTTATTTATTTATTTATTTATTTGAATTTGAAATGGCACTAGGTCCTATTTTTTTTAAAAATAAATTTTTATTGTTCATATTATTACAAATGTTCCTTCCCCATCCTTCCCCCCCTCCCCCCGCTCCATTGCTCTCCTCCACCAGGTTCCCACCCCACCCTCTGCCCTTTCCCCACTCCTCATTGTCCTCATCCATAGGTGCACAGTTTATGTTCAGTCTCTTCCCACATCCCCCTCTCCCCTTTTCCCCAAGAATTGTCAGTTCACTCCCCTTCCATACCTCTGATTCCCTATTATATTTAACAGTTAATATTATTCATCAGATTTTTTTTAATTTCCTTTGTTTTTAGATTCATTTGTTGATAGTTACGTACTTGTTGTTCATAGTTTTTATCTTTATTTACTTTCTCTTCTGAAAGAACCCCCTTCAGCAATTCATATAATTCTGGTTTGGTGGTGATGAACTCCTTTAGCTTTTTTTTATTAGTGAAGCTCTTTATCTGGCCTTCGATTCTGAGTGATAGCTTTGCTGGATAGATTATCCTTGGCTCTAGGTTCTTACTATTCATCACCTTGAATATTTCTTGCCATTCCCGTCTGGCCTGCATGGTTTCTGTTGAGAAATCAGCTGACAATCGTATAGGTGCTCCTTTATAGGTAACTACCTGGTTTGCTCTTGCTGCTTTTAATATTCTCTATTTATCTTTTGCTCTTGGAATTTTAATTATGATGTGTCTTGGTGTGGTCCTCTTTGGATTCCTTTTGTTTGGAGTTCTGTGCGCTTCCTGGACTTGTAAGTCTAATTCTTTCACCAGGTGGGGGAAGTTTTCTGTCACTATTTCTTTCAGTATGTTTTCAATATCTTGCTCTCTCTCATCTTCTGGGACTCCCATAATTCTGATTTTGGTTCACTTGAAGTTGTCCCAGAGGTTTCTTACATTATCTTCAATTTTCTGGATTCTCTTGCCTTCTAGCTTCTGTGGAGGAGTGTCTTCTGGCTCTTTATGTTCCAAATTTTGACTTGATTCTTGCGATCTTCCATTCTGTTTTTAAGACTCTGTATAATATTTTTTTATTTCAGACAATGTATTCTTTATTTCTTGTTGATTCCTTATTAATTCTAGTTGATCCCTTTTCATATCCTCATAGGTCTTATCCATCTTTTCTAGGAAATTTTTTGAAAAACCTTATAAGCGTAGATTTGAACTCTATATCCGGTCACTTTTTGTCCTTCATTTCTTTCATTTGTGATCTATTTCGTCTGGGCATTTTCGCAGCTTCCCTGATGGGGCGGGGTTTCAGGGTGGAGCCTACAAGCTTGGCTTCCCCGCCCTATGCGGCTCCTGAGTCTCAGGGTCCTTCAGTGCTCGCTGCCGGCGCCTCTGAGAGAAAGGTGCCCTCGATTTTCTCCTGCTACCAAACAGTCTAGGCTCTCCCCCAATGAGCCCTGTATTGGGGTTCAGTTCAGTTGGAAGTGGAGTTGGAGATGGTGTTCAGAGCAGTCTGGAGCCCCTATCTCCTTCCCGCCAGGGCAATCCCACGGCACAGCCAACCGTCCCTTCTCTGCGCACAATGTGCGCTCCTCTGGGACCTCCTTTCGCCGCTCCCCCGGGGTTCCGCCTTACAGCCCAGCTCCCTCTGTTTGAGCCTGGATCCCCGCGGTCTGGTCTAGAACTGGGGTTCAGAGCAGTTGGAACTGGGGCCCAGCACAGTCGGAGCTTTTATCTCCTTCCCGCTAGGGAACGCCAGCCAGGCACTCAGCCTCCCTCCTCCCCGCGCGTGCCACGTGTCTCCGTACCTTAGGCTTTTACAGCTCCTTGGCTCTTCCTTCTGGTTTTCTCCTCGCTTCTCATTGTAGATTTTCAGTCAGTCGACTTTCCTGTAGTTCTGGGTAATGTCCATTTTATATTTTAGTTGTATTTTATTGAAATTGTTGTGTGCGGCTGCGGCTAGGTGTTTACCTGTGCAGCCATCTTGGATTCTCCACTAGGACCTCTATTTCCCACATCTCACCTTTAAAGCATTTGGCATGCACTGGGTTTATTCACATGTACTCTGTCACCTGATTCTCACAATAGCGATGTGGAGTAGGCCAGCGCCACTGGTCCCATTTCTCAGCGGAGAACACGGAACTTTAACAGCCTCTCCAGGCAGCACAGCCAGAAAGCTGCAGAGCTTGTACTTGAACTCAGCCTGCCCAAGCCCTCGTCCATCCACCACGGAGCTACCTCTGTGTTGGTTTCAGAATTCTTTCAAAGGCAGATTTGTGCATGGAGGATGTACTTTCTTAAAAGTCAAAACATATGGTGGAGTGGATATCTGTCATTTCATGGCTACCTATCAACTTTTGAATAATTTTTAAAAAATGTTGAAATATTCTCAGCCATTCAAACACTGTTTCTGGACTTTTCCCTCTTTGCTTCTGAGGCCCCAACAGAAACACGTTAGACCTTCTCAATACATCCCTTTCTTCTGAGTTTTCTATCTTTGGTCCTCCCATGCTTTATTATAAAATTTTCTTCTCTCTATTTTTCAGTTCACTAATCCTCTCTTCAGCTTAAAAAAATTTTTTTCTCAGCCCTAGCGGGTTTGGCTCAGTGGATAGAGCGTTGGCCTGTGGACTGAAGGGTCCCTGGTTCG